TCTATCTATCTATCTATCTATCTATCTATCTATCTATCTATCTAATGTATTTGTGTACATATATGTATATATAAATCCTGCATTGGAGGAAAATGCACAATTCTAACACACGATCTATCTATCTGGTGTGTGTTGTGTGTATATAGTGCAGCACCAGAGCTCTGACAGAGGTGGCTCAATGATCTCATGAAACTACAAATCCCAGCCCTTCATAGCATTCAGCCAGGGCAACTAAAGCCCAAAAGCTATAAACCCCAGGCTTCCATAAGGTTAAAATGGAACCCCAGTGCTAGAATTGCTTAGTGCGGATGGGCCATTGTGGGTCCCATATTGGCAATCAAATTGTTTGCAAATCAATCAATGCTTTTTTTAAAATGGAGTACACAGTTTTCCAACTGGTGCCTCCAAAGCGATAGATCCATTTTGGTGGTTTTTAAAGCCACTGTCCAAGGTGCTGAGCCTTATTCCCAACCTTGGATGGCTTCTTCCAAGTCCAAACTCTTTTCAAAGGGCCTCAAGATCTGGAAATGGGACACAATTTATTAAATCCAGTTTATTTTTATTTGTCCTTTCCCCCCAAAGTAGCAGAGAACCCCAATATCAATTGCTTTCCTAGGATCAAAAGCAAGATTGCCAAATGGCCTCTAGCAAAGAGGAAACACAATATTACCCCAACACACACGAAACTGTATTTGCTTTCCCCAACCTGGCACCTTTCTGATGTACTACAACGCCCATCATCCCCAGGGCCAAGCTGGTTGGGACCTTTGAGAGCAGATATCCAAGAGATATGCAGGTATCAGGATGGATAAGGAGAAGACAAGGTGATTGCCCATTTTCTCCAGCTATTTTTTTTTGCATCTGCACTGCAGAAATAATCCAGTTTGATACCATTTTAACTGCCATGGCTCAATGCTATCGATTTTTGCAAACTGCAGTTTGTTGTGGCACTAGAGCTCTCTGTCAAAGGTGGTTTTGTACTCCAGAAAACTACAAATCCAAGAATTCCATAGCATTGACCCATGCATGACAGTTAAAGCAGTCTCAAACTGCATTAATTGCACCACGTAGCCGCACCCAGGGAAGGCTAAATGAACTACAAATCCCAGAATCCCAGAGCATGGAGCCGTGGCAGTTAAAGCAGTCTCAAACTGCATTAATTCTGCTGTGGAGATGCATCTAGGGAAGGCTAAATGAACTACAAATCCCAGGATTCCCTAACATGGAGCCATGACAGTTAAAGCGGTGTGGAACTGCACCAATTCTGCAGTGTAGATGCAGTCTTTGTTTCATCGTACAAGCAAAAAATGAGATCTGTAGATATCCGAAGGCTGGAAACTCTTAAGACGATTGGAGACATTGCATTTTGCATCAAGTTTGTAAAGATTTATTTTCTGGACCTCTAAGTCAACAGTTTCAAGGCAATCCAAGAGGTTTTGTTTTTGTTTAGACATGGCTTAGTTTTTTTCCTTTAAAAAAAAAGAGAATATAATTTTTTTTTTGCAAAACCCTTCCGTTTCGTTCCTTCCTTCCTCCCCATTTTTTATTCCTTGCAGCTCCACCGTACAGAAAGCGCACACTTAAAACACAAAGCAAAATTCAGATTAATTCAGATTAAAGGATTTGCACCGCATTTGGTGCTGGTGGCTATGGAAAAGAGCCAGAGAGATTCCCCAGTTTCAAACTGGTTTCAGACCTGTTTTAACCCACTCCATTCCCCATCTGTCCTTCTGCAAAAAGGTGGACCAACCTTGCAAGCTAACTTTCCCAGAACCCTTTTGTGGCAGGGCAGAGGACCTGTGCAACTCCCCATTCCCATCATCCCCAGCAAGTTGGGGCCAATGGTGGTGGATAATGGGAGCTTGACAAATTCAGTTTGACACCGCTTTTAAGTGCTGTCACTCCATCCTACAGAATCCAGGGACTTGTAGTTTTGCAAAGAAGAAAATGGCCAAGAAAACCCCTTTGGGTTGCCATAAGTCCGAAAGGACTTGTAGGCACACAACAAAGGTCTTTAGCCTTCTCTGCCAAAGGGAGCTGGTGCCTCACCAAACTACAAATCCCAGGATTCTGTAAGATGGTGCCATGACAGTTAAAATGGTATCAAACTGCATTATTTCGGTAAATGCATGCATGATAGGTTGCCAGACCAAAAACCAGAGAGGGTTCCTCCGCTTATGGAGGGTTGTGTGTAGCATTTCTCTTCTTCTACATAAGATAAGAGACAGTGTGGTGCTGTGGTTTGAGCCTCAGACTAACACTCTGGAGACCCAGGTTCGATTCCTACTCGGCCATGAAACCCACTCAGTGACCTTAGGCAAGGCACACTCTCTCAGCCTGGGAGGAATGCCATGGCAAACCTCCTCTGAACAAATCTGGCCAAGGAAACCCTATGATAGGTTTGCCTTAGGGTTGCCATCAGACTGGAAAGCACACAACACACACACAAGGTAGAAATTGTGCAGAGAAGGGGATTTTAGCAGGTCCTGACTCTCGCACAACCAGGTAACAAACACACCTGTTGAAATCCCCTCTTCTTTACCACCTTTAAAGGCAGAGGAGCCCTCACCATTTTTCACCTTGGCAACCCGAGATTCTCCTTAATGCAGGTATTTAAAGAGATTGGGCGGTCGGAGTGCTTTTTTCGCCTTGGAATCCTTGCATTAGGGGGGTTAGACTGGATGCCCTCTTGCGGTCCCTTCCAAAAAACCTGGTGTAAATTCAAAGAAAAATCCCAACAAAACAAAACCCATCAAAAAGCACTAATCTAAAACAGTCTGAAAAACACTTCTATTAAAAGACCCTTCTGCAATAGTCAGGAAAGAGCAGCAGTCCTGCCAAAATAATAAGGCTTCATCTTTTTTTTTTTGCCTACCTTCGGTATGAATTATACAGAAACGTCAGCTATGTACAACTGCATAGCGAGGATCCTGGCTAAGGAGAATTATTTAAATATTTACAGGGGGGAAAGGAGTTTGGGATTAGAAGGAGCATTTTAAAAAAAAATATTATTACAATGCAACAGTCCTATCTGAAGAGGGATTGCTCCCCATTTTGTACAGCAACTGTGGTTTGCATTTTTTATTTCTTAAATTAAGTCCCTAAC